ACTCCCCTTTAGGAAATAAGTTAGCACAAGACTTGCTCGACCCTTTCCCACATGCCTTCCAGAAGTCAGACAACTGACACCGTCACCAGCAGTACATGGAAACTGTTATAACCACCATTAAATGTGGGTGAGATTTAGAAGCACAACTCTGCTAACACACACCACATTGGTATCTGATACACAATGGTTATTTTTTTTAAATTATATGTTCAAATAGTTTTCTTTTTTATTGATATGGGTTGGTGTTAATTACTGTGTTACATGAGTTCTTTACATGTTAATGACAGTCTCTGTCAAATGTTTTATGTGAATATCTATTACTTTTCATTGCTTTTCTCTTTAGAAAAGATGATACCTGAAAGTAACAACTGTTCACCTATCTTACTGTTTATATTTTCATTCTTGAATACATCATTTTTGCATTTCATTCAATTAGTTTGGAATTGAGTATATTATGTGTTCAGGCTCAAACCTGACTCTTCCTCCTAAGCAACTTAATTTTCAATGAGCATTCCTCTAACAATGTATTTCACTGGAATGTGCTCACTGTTACACAGAGTGTCACACAAGGTCACAGGGGTCTCAGATCCAGACGGACCTTTGAAAGACCAATGTCAAATACCAGGTGCTATTGTGATTTTTTCCGAGAATGGAAAGAAGAAAAACCTTTAAATTCAGAAAATACTCTTGTGAGTGAATGGGGAACGGAGGGGGACCTTCTGGCTTTGTGGAGAAACAGGGGTGAGGTGAAGAGAGCAACTGGGCAGGGAGAGTGCCTGCGTCAGTCTCTCACACTGGGAGGCACACCACAAAGGTGCTTGGACTCAAAGTGTGGGTCCTATCTACCTACACCAAGTGACTGGTTTATGCAGATGCAGAAACCAAACCCTTGGCCTCAAAACAATCTCAGGCTATTCTCATCAGGCCAATCTTAATAGTGTCTGGCAGGAAGAGCAACAACGAACTTTGAAAAATAAAATCACTTTCCCTGAAACGTTTTACAAATGAGATAATAAAGCATTTTAAAAAGTATTTAATAGAAGAAAATATGAAGTTATTTCAGAAGAAAATTTGAAGTTATTTCTCTTGCTGCCCAGCATAGTGCTCCTTTCCGATATGTCTTCACAACTGTGTTTCAGACAATTGGATGAAGCCTGGTCAGGTATGGAGGTGCGTGCCTTTGATGGAGAAGGATCAGGAGCTCAAGGCTACCCTGGGCTATATGAGATCCTGTCGCAAAAGAAGGACATGGCTCAGTGGTGAAAAGCACTGGCTACTCTTGCAGAGGAGCCTGGTTTGATTCCAGCACCCACATGGTGGCTCACAATCATCTACTATAATGCCAGCTTCAGGGTACCTGACACCTTCTTCTGGCCTCAGTGGGCACAGCATACATGTGGTGCACAGACATACATGCAGGCAAAACACCCATAAAGATAAACAAAATCTTTAAAAAAATATAGGAATATATATATATATATATGATTATATATATAAAAAAATATATAAAACCTCTGAAGGTAACATGTATCTGATTTTTCTGCCCATTGCTCAATACTTAGATATTTTTGTTTATTTTTCTGTTACATATTAGTTATGTTTATAATAGCTTAGTAACTACTAAAGATTTACAAATGAAACATTCTCTAAGGCTGACTCTAACCTCCTTTTCTGATGCACAAAGTGCAGGACCTTTTCTCTGTAGTTATATGCAAGTCTCTCAAACCACTCCAAAACAGCCAGGCCCACCAGAGGATGCTCCCAGCCATACATCTCCTACACACTTGTCTCTGAGAGACACAGAAGGCAATTACTGGAGAAAGCCACTCTCTCTTTCTGAGGAACACCTGCTATAGTTTGGATCTGATGTCAGTTATCCTCCCCAAAGGCTCAGGTGTTGAAGGCGCTGTCGCCAACAGGGTGAGTTCATAACTGAATGAGCTCCTGGGAGGTGGAGTCTTGCTAGGTGAGACAGGTCACTGGCAGTCTGTTTCTGAAGGGCCTGTCTTGTTCTGGGCCTCTTCTTCTCTATTGATCTCTGGTTCTCAGCAGCCAAGGAATGAGCAGCCTGAAACAAGCTCCCACCATGATGGTCTGCATCATCTCAGGCTCAAAACAATGGATCCAGCCAACCTGGACTGAAGTGTCTGAAATCACATTTAAAGCATTCCTCTCTTAGGCACTGTGCCAGTGGAGGAAAACTAAAACAGCAACTTTGTTGCTGACACCTTTACAACTGGGGGAAGGCAGGGGTGGGGGTGAGGACATAATCCCAAGAAATGAAACTTCACAAAAGGGTGCCTATCCACTTGTGATTGATCCTTTCTCTTACCCCATTTGACATGGGAACTTTCTAGACCCAATGTTCATACTCTGACTCAGCCTGTTTGAGTTTTCCTCTAACCTTTTATCATTTTTTGAAGGCTTGGTATTGGTAGACATTTTACAAAAAACAGATGCTAATAACCCAGTGTTGCCCCCTCAGAAACGTAACTATTGACCGAGTCTATCATGCATTCATTCTGTGGCTCCTGGGATTTATCTGGTCAGTGTGGAAGGGGGTGGAGATTAGCTATTCACTCTATGCACATGAGCCCTGCCCTGCCTTGCTTGTCCACACATAACTACATCATAACTAGCCAAATACACAGGAGTATCCCTGAGGATTCATTACAACACTGATTCTGGGGCTCTTTTCCAGGTTTCAGGATTGGGCCACCAAATCATGCTTCTAGAGTTTATCACTCTAGATGAGAGATTTCTTTTTTTTCTTCTCTTTCTTTTTTGGTTTTTTGAGACAGGGTTTCTCCGTGTAGTTTTGGTCCCTGTCCTGCATCTTGCTCTGTAGACCAGGCTGGCCCTGAACTCACAGAGATCCGCCTGGCTCTGCCTCCCAAGTGCTGGGATTAAAGGCGTGTGCCACCGCCGCCCGGCTTAGATCAGTGATTTCTAAAAATGGCTGGGTTCCCCTTTGCACTTCTGAGAGACAGTCCATTTCCCCTCTCTGCTGAGTTGACTTGCCCTTGTAACATGCTTTGGTAATGTAAGACCATGGCCTGTCAGCCACCTTGCTTGCTTGTACACTCTGTCTTTGGAAGCCTTGTAACGAGCCTAGGCAAACCCGCTGAATGGGAACTAACAGATGGGTTCATGAGGCTATTGTGGGATGCTCCAAACTGATCCCTGCAGCTTGCCAGCCAAAAGCAAGGCATTCTGGCCCTGCTGACCCATGCACTCTTAAAGCAAGAAATGTCTACCGTTGTCAGTCGCCAACTTCAGAGTGACTTGTTATACAATGATAGAGTACCAATATTTCATAGCTCTGATACCGTGCACCCCAGAAATACCAATTTCTCCCTTTTCTCCAGCCTCCTGTTACCTACAATGTGGGATCTTATTTCTTCAATTTATTACAGGACACTATCTCTATGTGCACTGCCACTGCCAACATTGCCCTCCTTAAATTCAAGGGCAACACTATTACACTTCGTGTGTTCCCATTGCTGAGCAGCATCTGGCCATTGCTCAGCTCTTGTTTGCAGAAGGCTACTTCCAGATTCACAAAACACAGCTCACATCGCACGCCTACCTGAACTGGTGTTGGTTACAGTAAGTGCTGTGACCCAACACCTGACAACCTGAGGGAGGACGTGCTTATTCCAACTTGCAGTTGAGGCGATACAGTCCCAGGCAGGGAAAGCCTAGCATGATGGGGAGGTGGCTGGTCACACTGTGTCCAAGGTCGGGAAACAGAAATACATGAACTCTGGTGTCCAACCTGCTTTCTCCATTTATTCAGCCCAGAAACCCAGTCCGTGGGAGGTTTAAACTTTCCTGGGAACACCTTCACAGACAAACAGAGGTACCATGGAAATTTAAAATCTACTCTTTGACTCCTGAGATCAACTGCTGCAGCAACATTCCACTGAGGCTGTTTCACCACAGGACTCCGGCCCCAGCCCAGCTTCTCAGTGCTCAGTTCAAAAGCGAGGGCTGGCACGAACACACTCCTTAGAATGCCTTTGACATCTCTGCAAATTCTAGAGATTCCTGACACCCCACCGTCTCTGCTTCTGTGAAGCAGATCTAAGGACACTCCCCGATCCTCTCACCCCGAGCACCCACTTAGTACCTCTCCTGGGTACTTGAAATTACGGTTACTTGTGCAGCACAGTATGCAGCATAAATCCACTTCCTAAGATATCGTGAAGCTTTTCAGGGCAGATCCTTGATGTTATCATTACTCATGCAGGAAGTGGTATCAACGAAGTCCACACACAACCAGACCGTCAAGTTTTCCAGAACAGGTCCCATCTTCTACCTCTATGTTCACTCTATACCTACACGGTACCCTATGAGAAGTACAAGTAGTATAAGTTCTACCGAGTCAATGGCTGCTTTTTAGGAACTTATGCTGGGGCAATAATGAGGAGATCTACACCCGACTTCAGAAGCCAAACCCAGAGCAAAGACAGCAAAATAGGTAGAGTGATGCTTAGACGGCAGTCTGTGAAAGAATCTTCTGAAAAACGTGTGCAAACTACAAAATCCCAGGCTCTGCCCCTGGAGAGATTGATTCAGTAGGATTCAAACCTCAGTCCATTATTTGATTCCAAGGACAATCTGTGGGGATGTTCGTGGCCAAGACTGGTATATGGTAATAAGTGCCTCCTTTACAGCCATGAATACCAAAGAAAATACCCTTCTCATGTACTTTATTTATTTTTTAAGTTTCTTGACTTCAATGTTAAGGCACAAAGCACAGCCAGCCTATAAAAAGAATACTTAACAATGCATCCAGTCTGGCACCTTGGGAGCTTAGGCTGTGGGACAACGGCATCACATCCCATTCTTTGAGATCACAATCTGCACAGGTTTTTTTCACCTATATACCCTTTTTTATAAACTATTCAAGGCTTAATTTACTACAAATAGTCCTTTTTCAGACCACCTTGCCACGAGGCTGGTTTTAAAATAACTGAAGGGTGCAAGGCTCTTACCTCGGTCCCAGAGGCTGGCTCTTAATGCTCTTTCCAGCTGCTCCTCCTCACTCAATCCTGCTGTATAGACATCATAGTTCCTATGAGTTTCTTCATAGGTTCCCGGTCTGCCATCTGGGTAGTGATTCTGATATCCAGAGGGGCCTGTGGGTACAATCAGAAGGTTACAGACCCCAGTAATGGCTTTTGCTTCAGAATTCCCGCTTTGTATATGCAAAGACAAGCAAATAATTCATGTCACTATTTTGAGTATAATAATAATCTTGTAATTAAAAGAAGATGACATACAGAGAAAAGTTCCACAAGAGTGGGCAATGATGACCCTGTCACTGCTGCAGCCACAGTACAGAACACAGACCTGGACATGAATGAGATGTTACATGCTAAAGAGAAAAAGGAACAGTAACTTAGAAGGCAGCTGGAGGTGCAGAGAAGAGATTGGAATGGGCTTAGAGCTGTTGACCATCCCCCTGTCTCAGAGTGTTTCCTGTGAAGTTCTGACTTAAGTGGGTAGAATGGTGGGGCATAGCCGAGAAAGTTTTACCTTCTTGTGGCTCCACCCAATCAGAGACAACCAATGTTTCATACCTAAACCACAGAGCGCCCAGGCTGAGTATTCTATTTCAAAAACTAATAACAAGATTGAGACAGATAAGCCACTTTCTCTGATTGTAACTGCACTTCTAACTAACAGCACTTGCAAAAAATCGGTACTCAATAGAAACAAGAGATGACATGCCCATTAAATAACAATTTCCACACTAAACAGACACCAATTAATAAAAGACGGTAGTGGAACAAAGTTTGCTTTTGCAAAATAATTCTATCAAACTTTTGTCCGTTTGAACCTCACTCGTCCTTGTGTTTTCTTTAACTGTCAACGGTTATAGAATTAGTTTGAAGGGACTTTTCTCTTTAGATAACAGTCTGGCATAATGGGAGAAATTACCTTCTGCTCCATGCTCCCCTCTATCCTGTTGTTAGCATATTCTTTGAAGGGGATGTTTCTAGTCTTAATTAATGCACTTGGTTGTTAATGAAACTCTGTAAGCTACGGTATCATGTATCTCTACGTCATCTACACAGTGCATGAATGGGTACTAACTTTACTGCAGAAAAACACAGAACTTGTTTGAGCAAAATTTCACATTCAGGAATTTGATCACTGGAACTCAATCTACTTTGAAATAGGCTTCCTTATAGCATTTTCATATGTGCTTAGTTTCAGCTGACCCTTCCCCTCATTACCTCTTATCTCCTTGTCCTCTATATTCAAGACTGAAAGGGGAATTTTCATATTTAGCAAAAAACATTTGGCAATTTAGAATCATTTCCATTAAATAATAAAATCACAATAAAACATGCCAGCTTCAATTGATACCTCAATAACTACACATTGATATCTGTGTCATCTGTTACTAGTCTGTGGAGTTGGGACCTTTGCAAAGTAATGCAGATTAGACAGGGTTATTAGGACACGACTTCCAGGATGCTGTCAGTGGCTATCTGAGAGGAAGAAGTGAGTCCTGAACTCATTTGTTCTGTCTCCATGTGATGTCCTCTCCCATTTATGATGCAGCAAGCAGTCCGGACCAGACCCTAGCACATGTTCAATATCCCAAACTCCGGAAACATGGGCTAAATAAACTCTATTATTTATGGATTACCCACTTCATTTGGTTGTATAAACAGAAAAAAATTATTGACAAACTATTAGCGTAAAATTTACCAATTCAGTTTTTCAGTGTATGCATGTAGTTGTACCATCATCACCATAAATAATTGTAAATATTTTCATAATTCCCTCAAAGAAATATATACCCTTTAGCTAACACCCCCTCAGCTTCACATCCCTCCCAGCTCTAAGTAATCACTAATCTACTTTCTATCTCTATAGAAATATCTCTTCTGCATAAATCATATACATACCTAGTGCATGCTATTTTGTGTATGGTACACTTTACCCAGCATGTTCTCAAGATTCCTGACTATTGTAACATGTACCAGTATTTCATTCCTTCGTATGGTCAAACAGTATCTCTGTAGATAGCTGAGCTACAGCTTATCAACACAACAGCTGATGGGCATTGACTTCTGCCTTTGTGTGCATGTATGCACATGCATTGTGGGCACATGTGTAGGTCAGAGGTTGGCTTTGGGTGTCTTCCTCAATCACTCCCCATCTTTATTTTTTGTTGTTGTTTTATTTTTTATTGTTATTGTTTTGAGATGGGTCTCTCATTGAATGGTCTCTCACTGAATGTCAGTTTGGCTAGACTGGCCGAAGAATGATCCCTTAGGATCCACTTGTTTCTATCCCCAAGCATCAAAGTCACATGCGGATGTCATCACACCTGGCTTTCATGTGAATGCTGAGGATCCGAACTCAGGTTCTTGGGCTTGTGTAGCAAGCAGTTTACCCATATAGCTGCCACCCCCAGTCCTAGATTCACCTTCCAAATATTTTGAATAATGTTGCTATAAACAATTGTGGGCAAATGCATATGTGAACGCACATCTGTGTTTCTGTTGAGTGTGTATCTAAGAGCGTAAGTGCTGGTCTGACTATAGTTTTGTTTAAATCTTTTAGGAACCACCAGAACGTTTTCCAAGTGGATGCACCACTTTCCAGTCCTACACGCAG